ATATATATATATATATATATATATATATATATATATATATATATATATATTTGTATATATATACAAATATAATAAATACATATAAATACAAACACACATCCATATGTGTGTCTGTGTATCTGTGTGTGTCTGTGTATGTGTGTGTGTATGTGTAAACAATAATGATAATGATGATGGTAACAACAATAATAATGAAATCCGGCCAGCACTTTTTGAGCTACGCTGCTAACAAACCAACAAACCAACGCCATCAAAAACATAACCTCCTTGGCGGAGGTAATAATGATAATGATAGCATTAATGATGATATTGATAGCAATAATAATGATGATAAATATAGTGATGATAATAATAATGATAAGTATGATGATGACAATAATAATGATAATAATGAATATGTTGATAATGATGATAACAATAATGATAAAGATAATGATAATAATGATAATAACAATAATAATAAAGCTACCAACTATAAACCAGTTACCTGCTTAGCTTTAATGCGGAAGCTACTCACCAGTATCATGTCAGAGATTTATCGACACCTGGGAGAAAAGCCTAATGCCAGAAAACCAGAAAGGATGCCGAAAAGATCAAGGGACACACAGAATAATTATTAATTACCAAATTCATCATTAAGAACTGTAAGAGAAAAAAAGTTGATCTGTCTATTAGTTGGACTGGTTACGAGAAAGCGTTTGACAGGATTTCACATTCGTGGATCATCGAATTTTCTCAAAATAGCTGACAACATCAAAGATCTCTGGAACAGCTTGAGGGGAGAGACTTTGGGTGAGGTGTTGTACGAGGTATCTCTCAGGGTGACAGTTTATTGCCTCTTCTTTTTGTTATCTGTCTAATGCTACTCACATTTATTTTGAGAAAAATGAAAAGCGAGCTATAAGTTTGGTATATCAGGACCAAATGTAAACCATCTAATATATATAGACAACCTAAAACTCTTCAATTATTTAGAGAAACAACTGGATACACTGATGAATTCGGTATACTTTTTTAGAAGGGAGTTTGGAATAAGTAAATGTGGCATTCTGGTTATGTAAAAAGGGAATCATACTCACAGAGATGGTACAGAAATACCTGCTGGAGAAAAGGTAAAGGAAATCGACGTAGAAAACGGCTACAAATACCTAGTTATTCTTGAAACTGAGAGTGTGAAAGACAAGAAAACATAAAGATGAAGTATATAAAAAGACTAAAGAAAATTTTAAAATCTAAGCTGAACGGCAAATGTACTACCATTATTAACTCCAGAGCAGTATCCATCATTAGGCACGGCGCATGAATAGTAGAATGGCAGATCAACGAACTCCAGGCGCTGGGCAGGAAAACCCGAAAGCTGCTTACCATGCGCAACGAGTCCCATAGGAAGAAAGGGAGATGTAGACCGTTTGTACTTTGAGGGTTAATCATTGTTGAGGATTGCGTCTTGAACTGCCTATGTAAGTACGCCCATACCAACCCAGAGCCTATGATTAAGGAGGTTGGAAGAGAAGCGATCTTAGATGCGGGAAAGGATAAAAAAAAAGAGTAGGAAAAGCAATTTGAAAAGCTAAAGCCCTCACAGCATATTTTCAGTAAAACTGAATTCAAGGATACACGTAGTTAGGACTGGTTGGAATGTGGTGACTTGAAAAGGGCTACAGAGAGCACATTAGTGGCAGCTCGAGAACAAGCAATAACAAGAGCTATTAAACACCTCACAGACAGGGAGAACATCTCTCCACTCGCCAAACTATGTGGAGAACGAGAGGAGACGATGGCACTCTAGGTATCACAGTGTAAAACTCTTGCCCAGAAACAGTAAAGTTTTGGAGACATAACAGGATAGCACAGGTATTTTACTGGTAACTTTGGCCGAAGTACACACTAGAATATGCAGAAAATGGGTATGATCACTGACCTGCTGCAGTTGAGAATGACAAGGTGAATGTTCTCCGGGACATGGAGATCCCATATGACAAAACTTTAGAACATTCTAGGACAGATATAGTTGTCTTCGAAAAAAAGATGGTCGTATTTGTAAAAACGTGAAATATAGGATAAAGGATATGAAGTAATGAGGATAATAATAGTAACTGTTACTACTATAACTACTAGCACTACTATTACTACTACAAATGATAATGGCAATAATGTTTATTGAAGATAAGAAGAACAAACAATAAAGAGTAACAACAGTTTTGGTAATAAAATCATTATAACAATAATAACAATAAGAAAACAAAAACAACAAAAAGGAAAATAAATAAAAAAAAGAAAACAATATATAAATATATAATAAGAAAATATAAATGAATGTATTAATAAAACAAATAGAAAAAAATCTAACTAATAACTAATAAAATCGTAAAGCATAATAGTAGAAGAAAAAAAATATAGAATACTTCACCACTTCCACCCTAACCCACCTTCGCCCACCCTCCCACCCACCTACCTTCGCCCACCCTCCCACCCACCTCCTTCACACCCACCCACCCACCTACCTACCTACCTGTGCCCACCCATCCACCTTCGCCCACCCACCCACCTACCTTCACCCACCCACCTACCTTCACCCACCCACCTACCTACCTACCTGTGCCCACCCACCCACCTACCTTCACCCACCCACCCACCTACCTTCGCCCACCTACTCACCCCCACCCACCCAGCTACCTACCTGTGCCCACCTACCCACCCACCTACCTATGCCCACCTACCCACTCTCCCACCTACCCGTCCCTCTCGCGTAGGCAAGCAAATGCTGATACAGGTTTTCACAAGAACCAGTTGCTCAGAGTCAAGAAAAAGGAGAGAGAGAGAGAAAAAAAAAAAAAAGGCTTGTGAAATATTGAGGACAGTTTGCGGTTCAGCCACTAGTCGACGAAGAAAATTTGTGAGGATTAATAAACTCTTTGGGCGAGTAAAGGAGGGAGCGTGAATGTAAATGTTGAGAATGAAAGAAAACGGGTCATTCTGTTTGTTATTTGGACGTTGATATGAGGAATTTGTTGTTGTTTCTTTATGGTGAGAATTAATCCAGATTTTGTTTATTGAACTGTCTCTTTTTATTTCTTTGTCTCTGGATCTGTCTCTGTCTCTGTCTCTCTGTCTCTCTCTCTCTCTCTCTCTCTCTCTCCTTCTCTCTCTCTCTCTCTCTGATTGACTCTCATTCTCTCTCTCTTTTTGTCTCTTTCTCTTTCTCTCTCTCCCTCTATCTGCCTCTGTCTCTTTCCCCCTCCTTCCCCCCTCTCTCTCTCCTCGCCCTCTTTCCTTCCCTCCCACCCTTCCTTCCTTCCACCTCTTCTCTCTCTCTCTCTCTTTTACACACACACTCTCTCTCTCTCTTTCGGGGTCCACATGGCTGCTAGCAGGTAGGGGATGCGGTTACACACACACGCGCGCTGAAACGAACAACCTTGCTTATTGTGAAGCCCTTCCATTCCCCATCAGCGTTATGGGAAGGGGAGGGGGGGTGGGGGGTGGAGGGAATGAGGTATGAGGGGGAAGGGGGAGTGGGGAAGGGTAAGGGGGGAAGGGAGGGGTAAGGGGGGGGAAGGGAGGTGTAATTGGGGAGGTAGGGGTGGAGGGGAAAGGAGGTAAAGGGGAGAGGGAAGGGTAAAGGGAAGGTCAGGAGGGGGTAATAGGGAGGAAGAGGGGGAGGGGGGAAGGAGGTGGGGGGGAAGGGGTGGAATGGGTAAGTGTGAGAGGAAGAGGGGTAATGGGGAGGGGGTAGGAGGTAGGGGGTAGGGGAAGCTTTGCCTCCTGCCTTCCCTTTTCTTACCTTCCTCCCTTCCCTTTCCTTTAAGGGTTAAGGGAACTGGGGGGATGTTGCGATGCTTTCTTTTCATTCTCTTTTTCTCTTTCGTCACACAGAATGAAAGGAAATGGTGGAAGAAAGGAAAATTTCTCCTCTTTATTTTCCTTTTTCCCTTTTTCCTTCCTGTCTCCCACCCCTCTCTCTTTCTGTCTTTCTTGCTTATTGTCTTCTTTTATTCTCTCTCTCTCTCTCTCTCTCTCTCTCTCTCTCTCTCTCTCTGTCTGTCTGTCTTTACCTCTCTCTCTCTCTCTCTCTTTCTATA